GTCTGGATCGCCGGCATGAAGAAGTATCTGAGTGGCTCGATCGCAGACCTCACACAAGCGGAAGCAAGATCGTATGGCAAGATCGCGGCCGCTACGAGGTAGACGAGCAGGCTCTACTCTTTTACTGCCCCCACGCCGAGATCGGGGGACGATCGCGACCGATTGCTGAGATTGGTAGTTCCCGAAACGCTGCAATCGGACGTCTTACACCACTATCACACGACGTTGGAAGGAGGACATCAGGGAGTGGGGCGTACCTACCAGCGAATCAGGGATCACTTCCACTGGAGGGGATTATACCGGAGTGTTCAGCGATATGTGGGGGAATGTGTGGATTGTGAAACAGGAAAAGGAAAACCGGTGATCCGAGGTGAATCATCAGCAGGCGACGTACCCGTTCCAGATCATTGCGATGGATCACATACCGTCGCTACCCAGGTCGCACAAGGGAAACACAGAGTTATTGATCTGGGTCGATTTGTTCACAGGATATGTGATCGCGAAAGCCAGCTCGTCCCGATCGGCTCAGACGGTGGCGAAATCGTACGGAGAGTGTGTATTTCGACGATTTGTTGCCAGTGAGATGATCCGGCACGATCGAGAACCCGGCTTCATGTCCAATTTCTTTTGGGAATTCAATAAGATCCTGGGACAACGGCAGCGGGCTACGATGGCATATCGGCCACAAGCTAACGGGACAGCTGAGAGAATGGTGCAGACCGCGACCAGGGCGCTCAAGATGTACGTCCGCGATCTCGATCAAAAGGATTGGGACGTATTTGCCGAATGCCTTACCTTCGCGATCAATACGGCTTACGATCGGATCCGAGGAGGTACCCCTCATTATTTGGTGCATGGGTGGCATCCGAGATCGACGTTGGAGGCTACACTGCCAGTCGGATGTACGAGACGGCGCGATCGAGACGCGCAGCGGTGACGATATCGAGTCCAGCGATATTATCAGCAATTCCGAGAACAAGTCAATGCCAGATTGAAGGAGGCCATTGCAGATCGGGCCGACCGGCACAACGAGGACGTCGGATCACACCAGATCGAGGCCGGGTCTCCCGTCTGGTTATATCTAGATAGGATACGCGCGGAAATTGGCTCACCTGTGGCATGGGTCGTTCCGAGTCACCGAGAAGATCAACTATTTCAGTGTCAAGCTCAAAATCGCAGGTACCGGGTACCAGATCTTCCCAGTTGTGCACGTGTCGAAGTTGAAATTGGTAAAGGATTTTCCGGATCTGCCGCGAGTGGAACTTACGGTAGATAAGGCGGAGCGTCTCGATTTCGACGAGATCCTGCTCCCGGAGGACAGTTGGGTCCCGGATCTAGGGGCCGATGAGTATGAAGTCGAGCGGATCTCTGATGGGCGGAATGGGAAGAAGACGAGATTTGGTCGGATCTACCGAGAATTCCTGGTGCATTGGGCAGGATGTGATGAGCCAACCTAGGTCGACGAAGCGGATCTCAACTGCGGGACAAAATTGAACGCATTCCTACGAGACCGGGCTAATCGGAACCGCTTCCATGTGTTGCAATTACATGAGGAGGTGTAAGGAGGGCGAGGTGAGGTTACCAGATCGTCTCGACCCCGAGGAAATACCGGTCGGAGGAGACCGAGATCAGGAGTTCATGTTGTATATATGCATATGGAAGCCGTCGCAAGAGATCACGGAAACCATGAAGAGTTGGAAGAGAGATCACTTAGGAATGGCAAAAAAGAATAAACAAGTAGAAGATGTGGCTGAATTAGGAAATTACGAAATAGACAAGGAGGAAACGCGGTCACGGGTAGGAAATTGGAGATCACGGAGGAGGGCTAAACCGGCGATAAAGGATCTGCCGGCGGATTGAACTTGTTCACGAGTCGAGGGATCTGCAGCGACGGATGAGCGGAACCGGGATACCGGTAATGATTCCTCCAGGGTCTGCTTTATCGTACTCAAACAGGGCCGTGATCAGGTGGGTCGGCTCGGGAAGATTCGCTGTCGGCTGCGTAAGATTGACCGCCCTGGAGACCGATCCGGGATACTAACGCACCCGATCGTGTTTTGTCGGCAGGTGGAGCCAGCAGGATGTCGATATCGGCTCTCTGGGCTCTCATCATTAGCACAACTTCCCCCAACAGCTTCCGCCAACTTTTTCCAGACCGGATCTGTCCCTGACGTCGACCTTGGTGGTAGGTGAAGAGATCTGAGTTCGCGGCGGCAATCACCTTCGTGATCTCGAGATAATGGGTCGATTACGAATACGCAATCATGTGATCCTCCTCCAGGGCGGCATACGATACGGCGATCCGCCACAGAGGGGTCACTGCTCGCCGGTGAAGGTTATGATTGAAAGTTAATGGAGTGGGACGACGCTGGCCAAGCATGCGCCATGGCGCGGTAGCCATAAGAGCCAAAAAATTGGCACCGGTGATCAATTCCGAACGATACCTGGTCACGGGTATGGGAGGACGGACCAGAGGTTTCGGAAGGGGAACAGGAAATTGGGCGGGATCGGCAACCGTTTCGTCAAAGTGGCCTGGATCATTGCTATGATCGGCACAGTTCCTACGATGGGCGGGTCCCACGGAGTGATCCCGGCCGCCGTGAAGAGTTTGAATGCGGAGTAATGACGAATACTCGCTTCGGAGGGGAATAACGGCGGATGAAGCTGGATGGGTGAGTCATCCCCCGGAGAACCACCACCAGGGCTTCCGTCAAGAGATCTGGGAGATGAGGGAGGAGGCGTCGTGGGACCGTGATCCGGAGAAGGGGAGTCGTGATCACCCGGGCTGCTCTCGCCCCCGCTTGGGATCTCAGACTTATCTTCGAGTTCCTGGTCTTCCGGACCCTCGATCTCGGGCTGATCTTGGTTGGGTGGCGGGGAAACCGGTCGATCACTGCGCGTCGTCTTGAGAGGCGGTAATTGGGGCGGAGAACTGGGCGAACTTCGCTCACGTTTCGGCATCCGCGCCGCCTTACCCTCTCTGATCCGGCTGGCTAGATGTGTGAGAACCACATCGGCCTCATTCAGATCACTGTCGGCCAGATCTCGCAACGCGGCGAGTTGGTCGTGGGCGACCTGGAGATCCACCATCGTGCCCTCCCGCGCTTGCGATTCCAGGCGAATCACCTCGAGATCATCGTCCAGCTGGGCAGTGCGGGCAGTCTCAGTGAAATGATCCAAGCGGACCTGATCGTGTTCGGCGATCGCCTGATCACGCACCCGAAGGGCCGAATCACGATCAACAAGCGCCCGATCCCGGTCCTCGGTGGTCTGGGCAAGTTGCTTGAAGGCTCGATCACGATCGGATGGATGTGCCCTGTGTCAGTGTTGCCCGGGTGAGCGCAAGATCTGCCAACGCGCGATCACGGTGCGCCAGGGCTAGGCGAGTAGTGCCTCCAAGGGACGGACCCCCTCCGTGATCCGGTTGCGTGTGGGTGAGGCTGGAGGAGATCCGGTTGTAGCTGGCAAGAGCGGTGGCAGATTCAGACCTCGCGTCGTCAGTCTCCCGCTCCAAACCCCGGACTTGCTCCTGTAAGTCCCTGGTCTCGCCCCCGGCTTGAATATCTTCCAGACGCAGACGATCACGATCGGCCTCGGCGTTGTGGAGATCTTCACGGGTGGATATGGTTTGACGCTCGAAGTCGTTCCGTTTGACGCGCAGTTGAAGGATCTGGGTGTAGAGATTCTCCGGATCGTTACCGATGTCGTGGGTGAGAGCCGAGATCTCGGTCTCGAGTCGAGTGATCTCGTCTCGCTGGCCGTACTGGAACGCTTCCATGTCCCGGATGTTGGATCGTAGCTGGTGGACTTGCTGATCGAGGTGATCCCGGTCTCGAACGACGAGATTTCGCGTAAGGTTGCTCTGGCGAAGTTCACTCTCCAACGTGGCCAATCGTCGATCCCGATCAGAGGTGCGGGAGTGTGAGCGACTGATGGCTCGCGGTAGACTGCGGCAAGTCAGGAGGGGTCGGAATAGGGGGACTCTCGGGGCTGCTACCGGTCTGGCTCATGGCGATCGTTGGTGGAAGGGTGAGGAGAAGTATGCCCGAGTCGGTAGATTGGAGAATGAGACCTGAAGTGAACCCGGACGGTCCACCTTTCAGGATGAGAGCGGATGTGGTAAAGTGCGATCGAAATTTCACAAGAAAGGCAACCCCGGCTGCCAGATCGCGAGAAAGAGACGGACCAGGGGACAGAAATCCCACTCTAGACCAAGACATCAGACCAATACATCAAGTCACCTCCCCAAGATCTGACGTGCGACAACATCGGTGAGTGATGGGGATAACGGATGACCCAAGATCGACTACAGATGACCCACGATCAACCCGACGGAATGATAGACGGCGATCCACCCATATTGTATCGTGAGAATGGCGGATCAAGGAAGTTCATGAGGGGAAGCCGCCATCGATCGACGATCCCAAATTATAGCGGACCAACGGACCGAGATCGAATGGGAACAGCTACGTTCGCGCCCCATCAATCATCTATCAAGACATGCGAGGGATACGCAACCCCAGACCAAGCAAAGATGACGATCCGAACCCCTGGGAAGGAGGCGGGATGGGATCACCGGGAGACAGTCGGCGTGCGCCCCAAGGCGAGCGATGGCGATGGAAATCACCGCACGACGGTGCGGGCGATGGTCCAAGACCCCGGGGGACGTCCTCGATCAAGATCGAGAGCCTTGACTGGGGTTATCGACCGGGGTCACAGATCGAGGCCGACCGAAGCCGGACCATGATTGCCGATCGAGGTCCGATCGTGATCGCCGATCACCGATCCCAAGATAAGGTATGTATCCAGATGTCAGGCGATCATAGGAAAGGAGCTGAGGATGGGTTAGGAAACATAGGGATAAAAGTATACAAACTCGACTTTGCTCTAAGCCACACAAGCGTCCGCCTTCGCCTTGAATCCGGGTTTATTTTGGCCCCTCAAGCGCGTAGACGGTAAGGACATAGGATCTAGCGTAACGGTTAAGACTGGATAATATATTGGCCACCCAGGAGAGCGTAACCCGCCCGCCATCGGGTACACAAGGTGAGCAAGAACACAACCAGATCACGGATCATCGGAGGACCCCCTTCGTTAGTCGGTGTCCGGGCGCAAGTGGCATCGGGAACCGCGATCACAAGATTTTCACGGATTCCGCTTCGCCACACCAGCGACGTGCTGATTAATAGCATTCTCAGGAGACTTATGGACCTCAATATCTGCATCAACTCCCAGGAATTCTGACACACTAGTTCCCTCAAACATATTTGCTAGATCATCAATAACTTTTGTTCTGCAGTGACCGAATAGTTCCCTGCCTGCCTGAGTTCGGCCATCATCTATGCGTTAACAATTCTCGCCTTGACCCAGCAATTCCGTAAACAGTCAGCACTCACATCTCCCTAACTGTCAATACTAAACTGAAATACCTCGAAGACGTTCAATTTTCGCTTGATGTTGCTTTCAAATGCGTCGAGGCATCAGTGAACAAATCATCGACGATATCGAGCCTTGAATGACTGTATTATTCTTACAGCAATAACGTTATAATCCATTTAACACTCAGTTCGAAAAATATGCTTACCTGCATCCAATGGATGAACTGAAGACGTCAGATTTGGGGGAAAGAAATGCACTTCAACGTTTGATAACGTTTTTACCACTTTGTGACGGGGAGCGTTATCAACCAACAGAAGATCTTTGCGGGTTTTCAACTACCAACTTAAAGTTGAACGATTGAAGCCACTCGAAGAAAATTGTAGATGTCATCCACGCTTTAGCTGAGTGATAATATTCCACGGGTTTTCGCTTGAGAGCGAGACGGGCTCCACCCCAAAACCACCGCGGGTTTGCCGCTATCCCAATCACCAATGGATTTAGCTTGTGCATGCCAGTCGTGTTGCAGCAGAAAGCAATCGTAATTTTCGCTTTGTCACGTTTTTTTCTTGCGTCGCGCTGTAGCAAGCGTTTGGTTCGGAGCCAGTCTATAAAACAAAGTTGTTTCTTTAACGTTGTAGATATCATTGGGTCTGTAGTGGCAGGTAACGTCTTGCAGCGAGTAGCCAGCTGACCTGACTTCTACGGCTGTTGAGCTGTCGGCTTCGCCATGTAACCGAGTTGAAGATATTCCATTGCGCCTTTTGAATTTAACTTTCCCACCGTTGCTTAGTCGAAGTTGATCATCTGTGATGCTAAGAGTCTTCTTAATATCACTAGCCTTGAAAAGTAGTATGTCGTCTGAAATGATGGTCTTTTTCTTCATGTTCATGAAAAAGGCAAGAAGTTGCTGCACTGGCTCAGGAAACTTTACGAGGCGACGTGTTGCTGTGGAGTCGGCACTGCAATAGTTGGTCGGTTGTTTATATCGAATGCGACCAACTGTGCTGTTGCTGACGGTCTTTTTCATGGTGCGGTGGGCCCACGGCAAAAGTCTCCATCTTTGATGCTGGGCTCGCGCTGAGCTTTTAAGCAGACTTGCAGTTTTTCTTCTAATGTCAACGTGGTCATCTAAGCAGCTGTGCGGTCGCGAGGAGCAATTATGGAACTGTAAATAGTTCTAAAT